AAAAAAATCCAACCAAAGGTCTGCTTCTGGGTTACTGAACTCTGAGCAGTACATTGGCGAACATCTCAGATATTCATTCCTGTTGAGAGTGATGAAGTAGTATGGTGGTGTTGGAGATTTGCATAGCTGCCTGCAACAAAGGGCAATTTAATAAAGCGGGCTTTGGCAGTGCTGTGCAATGGTGAATTCTGAGGAGGCGTTTCAGTCCAGGTGAAATCTTGTGCTTGCCTACAAGACAAAAGCAAAAAAAAAATTGAAATATGAAAGCTTCTAATAACATTTTTATCACTGCTGCTTTATATATGTTCTCGGATTCACCACTGACGTGAGAAATGCCAACATAGGTCAGAGCTGAGAAGAAAAAGTAAATATATTGCATATAGTTTGCAAAATGAACCTGGAGCTCACGACATTTAAATCAAACATAAGGATGCCCCTACTATGGATTCAGCAACAGTCAAATAAAAGAATAAAGCATACCAAGCACAAAACTGGTACTTAGAGAAAAGCAAAACACATTGTAGGCTTTAGGCTCTAGATAATAGATAATAAAACAGATAATTCACAGAGCAGAGACAGGAGGCTGGACCTCTCACCACTAATGAGGGCACACTGACAGGCAAGTGTGCCATAAAGTGCAAGTATATTGCAAGTTTGCTACAAGTATGAAACATGGTAGTGGCAGCATCATGCTGTGGGCATGTTTCTCTCCCAATGTGCGCCCTGCTATAAATGCCGGTTATAGATTCATGCATGTACCATTTTTTCTAGTTTGACTATTTTTGGTTTGGGGGACGCACTGGAGTCCCAGCGTGCATTTTTGGTTGCTGGGCCTCCAGTGCGTCCCTGCACCTTATTAGGAGGAATTGGCTACCTCCAGGTACACCTGCATGTAATTTATCAACTTCATTAATATGCTCACACTTGGAGACTCGGATACATAGAGTTAGGACCACACTTTGAAGAGGTGCCTTGGCGCGGCAGTGTGGCTTTTACATATTTTTGGCCAAAAGTTTGTGCAACTAAAACCTCTGATTTTAACGCATACTGTTGACAGGGCTACTTGTTTGGTTGCAGGCTGGCTGGCAGGTTGAGGCTGGGGATTTTTTTCTGTTTTGTAATGTTTCTCTACAGCAGGCTCCAGAAAGCTTGTGAGGGTAGAACAAATTAATGCTGCACAATACAGGGAAATCCTCACGGAAAACCAGGTTTAGTTTGTAACTAACCTGTACCTAGGGAGAAAATTTGTCTTCAACAAAACAAAAACCCTAGAACTACATAAAAAAAGCTTTAAAACAAGTCTCAATGTTCTGGAACGGCCAGATAAGGGTCAGTCCATTCACAATCCAATAGAAAATGTGGGGCTTAACTTGAAAAATGGCCCTTCACTCATGATCTACATGCAACCCAACAGAGCTGGAGTAGTTTTGCAGTGTATGCAAAGCTTCCTATTCGCAGAGAAGGCTTTAACGAATACTTGCACTTTAAATACAAAGTGCACTTATTCGTTTTGCCCCCTCAGCCTAACAGATCTCACTATCCTCCTCCTTGGATACATACTTACTGAGATCCAATGCCTGCAGCCTCCTGCGTCTTTTCAACATTTCGCACCTCTTTCGACTGGCCACCAACGTGCAGTAGAGGCCTTTAGAAGTATATAGGGAGGGTCGGGAGGTCAGAGGTAGACAGCCCAATAGAAGTCTATGGGGCTCTACTACACTGGAATGGCCAAGAGAGAGGATTTGTGATGCGGGATGTAAACAATCTATGGAGGCCAGAAGCTTTGGATTAAAGTAAGAATACAGATGTGATCTGTTGAGTCAGGGAAGGTGGGCAAAAAAGATAAGTGCGTTTCCTTCTAAATTGCACTTATACTTTAATTTCTGCCAAAAGCACATCCTAAAAATCTCAACATGAAGGGGGTTTGAAGTTGAACATTTGCAATCAGTTATTAAGTGTTTGGGTTTTTTTGTATGTAATTTATCAGGGCAGATGCCAGTATCAGAAGAAAAGGGTGATAAGAGAACCCGGCATGGGCGTAGAGTATGAAATGTCCAACTAACCTCTACAAAATTACACATGGGCAATATATCACAGTTCCAGCCAAAGGTCTGATTTAGGCCTTAAACTGCTATTATCAAAGTCACATCTTAAACTGGCTTCTTGGTCTTCATTTTGCTGACTGTGGGTATAACACCCACTTACCTGTCACTCTCTGTCCACTAAATGTGGTTGTGTACTCCAGACAGGGAGATTATGAATACTTATTCTGGGTTTGTAAAAGCTCAAGTCATTGGACATTGTTTGCTTACCTGCATTTGAAGTGTGTCAATTGCAGGCAAATTCCCATCGTCTATATGGCAGGTCCATGGCTGCATTTGGTCTATTTTGCATTGCACTATTACTTTAGATGCAGCATGTTCTATTAAGGTGGGTTTGATCATTAGGCAAAGCAGGTCAAACAGACTGTTCGTATCAGACCCTGTCCTTTCCATTCAACAGCAACTGCATGTGTTTATACAGTGTTTGACTAGAACTGCCTGTCGACATGAACCCAAAAAGTGCCTCTGAACAGTGAACTGGGAGATGGTGCATATGTATTCTGAATCAGTAACTCAACGTGTATTTAAAGCAAGAGAATCAAAATGACTGCCATGCAATAGGCATTTTTAGAAAAGGTCAGCAACAGTATTCTGTCTATTTCTCTCATGACAGTTTTCCTATAAAACTCTGGGCTCCCCTCCACCCTCCTCTAACTCATCGCTGGAAATTTAGAAAAAAATCCCACTGGGACCCGAAGAAAAGGAGGGGGACTGATGTGAATGTGCACTATGTAAATCGCTGCGTAAATTGTCTGAGCTATATGGATACCAATAATAAACTCTTAGCCAGTCAGGTATAACCAATTCTGCTCCCATCATGCTTCAGGTTTTGCAGGAAAAAAATACTAGGAGCCGATTTCAAAACACAGAGAGGTGGAACCTGTGGCCCCTAATGAACTCCAAAAAATTGATTTTACAAATTGCAGCAGTTGCAGCTGGGACCTGGCTCTGACTCTCCAGAACTGTCCTGAAATCATCAGTCTGTATTGTTTTAGAAAAACTGTCACATGACCATAAACAAAAATGTATCAGTACTCGTACTTGTAAGTACTCGGCCAGTACCAGTACTCGTACTCGCAAGAATGGTATCTGTGCATCCCTTTATTTATATTTATAAAAAAAAATTGTACATTAAAAACAGAGATGTACAAATCCCAGGAGCTCCGTGTGCTCCTTACAAATGACAGCTGCCTCCTAATTTTTGAATTTTTCTCTAGTCTAGTTTGGAGCTCAAAAGTATCGGTACATGTACTCGGAGTTGTACCGAGTACTGTACTTGGGATCTGTGCAACCCTAACATGTACATACAGTTGTGTGAGAAAGTGTTGGCCCCCTGATTTTTCATTGTTTTGCACGTTTGTCACACTTTAATGTTTCAGATCATCAAACAAATTTAAATATTAGTCAAAGATAAACACAAGTAAACACAACATGCAGTTTTTAAAAAGGAAGGTTTTTATTATTAAGGGAAAACAAAATCCAAACCCACATGGCCCTGTGTAAAAAAGTGCCCCCCCGTTAAAACATAACTTAAAGTGACATTAAACCCTCAGAGATTTTTTAACATAAAACAATACTGTAATGTGTGCCTTACTGTAATCCATAGTGGTTTCCCTTCTCTTTGCTGCTCTTCCTTTTAAATCTGTATCTGTTTTCATGCTGGGCAGAACTTCTGTTTTGCAGCAGACTGCCTTGTCTCAGGAATGGATATATGGTGTCTGTGTATAGGCTTGTAACCTGAGCCAGCACTACAGGAAGAGGCACTGAGCTGAAATGGGAAGTTCTCCCCCAGCACGAGAAGACATGAGGATTTAAAAGGAAGAGCAGCAAAGAGAAGGGAAACTACCATGGATTACAGTAAGGCACACATTACAGTATTGGTTTATGTTAAAACATCTGAGGGTTTAATGTCACTAACTCTGGTTTATCACACCTGAGTTCAATTTCTCTAGCCACACCCAGGCCTGATTACTGCCACACCTGTTCGCAATCAAGAAATCACTTAAATAAGATTTGACTGACAAAGTGAAGTAGACCAAAAGATCCTCAAAAGCTACACATCATGCCGAGATCCAAAGACATCCAGGAACAAATGAGAAAGAAAGCAATTGAGATCTATCAGTTTGGAAAAGGTTATAAAGCCATTTCTATAGCTTTGGGACTCCAGCGAACCACTGTGAGAGCCATTA